TTTTGGAAAATAATTACTGACTCTTGGCAAAGGCGCAATCGATTTTCTTAACCCAAAAAAAAAAAATATATCAGGCCAATAGGTGGCTTTTAGTCATGGTCATGACTAATTAGCACATCTCATTCTGTTTTTATTTTACCCAACCTTCACATTGCCTGCCTCCCCCCTTCCCCTATCTAATTTTAACCCTAAATCCCAAAAATAAATTTAAAACCTTATCTCTCTCCCTCTCTCTTTCTCTTTTCTTCTCCTCCCCGTCGCGACGTTCCTCCCCCCTTCTTCTTCTTTCCCAACTCATCGATTCTTCCTCCTTCTCCTTCCTTTCCCTCTTCTCCTTCCTTTCCCTCTTCTTCCTCTTCCATTCTTCCTCTGCCCAGACGAACCAGACCGCCTCTCCTCCTTCTCTTTTCGGCCCTGTGCCCAGCCGCAACAGACGCCAACCAGCACATCCTCTCTTACTCCTTCTTCTTCTTCTCCTCCGTGCAACCGTCCACCCACGCTGCTGCTCCGCCAAGTCCAACTCCAGACGAGCCGCCGCCAGGCCGAATCCGTTCTCCGATCTGCCTCAGCCTGCCATCTCTCGACCGCGCCGCTGCACAGCAGCCAAGAGATAATTGCAAAAAATATCCCACCCTTATACCCTACTATCACTTTTGTCCTGTATTTATCTCGCTGGCAAAATATATCGTACATGTTTACAAAAGTCGCTACTTATGTCCTTTGCCCGAGTGTGCGCGCCCTTACGTGTAATCACGCGTGGCGACGCACGGCCAAAGGATAGAAATAGCGACTTTTGCAAGGATTTTTTAAATAAATGTCCTAAGTCAAGACTTTTTTTAAAGAAGTAGCCTTAAAGTAGTTCTGAAAACTACTTAATTTTGACAAATTGAAGAGTTCCCAGAACTTCTTGATTGTAGATCTAAGGAGTTCTATCTAAGGAGTTCTGAGAACTCCTTTTTGTAGTACATTATTTAATATTTTCTAACAATATTTTAAGGAGTTCTCAGAACTCTTTAAATCTACAACGAAGGAGTTTTGAGAATTTTTTTTTAACTACGGGTGTGTTCGTTTGAGATTTTGAATTCTGAGTTGAGATTTGAATAGTAAAAAATTTGAATTGGAATAATTGTATGATGTGATATAAATATATATTGATATGATATCTTAAATGTAAATTTAATTTGTAGTATAATATAAAAAAATGTGTTTATTTGCTAGTTTTAGAGAAAAAAAATTGAATAAATAGTAGATTTGGAGTGTAATCTCATAACTGAACACACCATATACATATTAATTTATTTATTTTTTCGTACTTTTTAATAAAAATTTTCTTTTGTTCCCCATCTTTTTACCGGTGTAATTTAAGATAATTTTTTTTTTCTTTTTTTCTTAATCTAAAATATAATTATATTTGTTGCATATTTTATTGTTAGTTTTATAAAATATTGAAAAAATGTAATTATTTGGTTTATATATATAGTTTTTATTTTTAATACTATTTTCATCCACTTAATAAGTTGACATTTTTTTTTTGTATGTTTATATTTATATATTAATTATTATATTCAAAAGTAGTACAAATCAAGATAAAAAATAAAATAAAATATTTATTTTATAAAACAAATATAAATTTGTATAATACATTATACAAATATAAAAATATTTTCAATATTACGCACAATGACATAAAAAATAAATATAAATTTATTAAAGAGACGAATGGAGTAATTTTTATTTAAGTCATAATAAAAATTATTAGTAAAATTTTTATCTTACATTATTTCTACTTTCTAGTAATAGAAAAAATATGAAAGAGCTATAATTATATCTACACATATCATATTAGTATATATATGTAAAAGATATATGATCTGCAATATTATTACTATTATATTTTTATTTTATGTTCTTAAACTTTTGAATTTTTTCTAATTAGTTTAAAATTCTTTATATGTATGATATATTTATATTTATATTTTTTATGGTTAAAAATAATATGAGATAAAATATAATTTTGTAAAATTTTTTATTATAATTTACTTTTATAAAACTTATTAAAAAAGAGAAATAAAAATCAAATAATTATTAATATTATATTCATTAAAGAACACACAAAAAAATTTAAAACCAAAAAATTTATAAAATCTACATTAAAACTATCAATATTATCCAAAAATTTTTTAAAAAATCAAAATTGTTATAAATGTGTATGAAATATTTTTAATATTTTATAAATCTATCAATAAAATATCAACAAATATAAAATTATGTTTTAGATTAAAAAATAAAAATAAGAAAAGAAAAGAAATGTATCTTATATTACATTAGGAAGAAGATAATGCACAAAAGAAAAATTATACTAATTTCATCATGCTCTAAGGGTCCTATTTACTTTTTCGTGTATATTTGAATATTAATTATTATATCAAAACGTAGTACAAATTAAGAAAAAATTGTAAAAATACTTTAATTAATGTCTTCTAATACTAATAAAAAGACAATTGTACAGAAAAATTATACAAATATAAGGATATTTTTAATGTTAACTACAATAACGCAAAAAGTAAATATGACCTTAGAGGCAGACGAAGGAATTATTAAAAAATAAGAAAAAAAAATTAATATATATATATATAGAAGAAGTTCTCAGAACTCTTTCGTTGTAAATTTAAGGAGTTCTCAAAACTCCTTAGAATGTTTATATAAATTATTAAATGATTTGTTACAAAAAATGAGTTCTCATAACTCCTTAAATCTACAACCAAAGAGTTCTGAAAGCTCCTCAATTTGTCAAAATTAAGTAGTTTTGAGAACTACTTTAAGGTCTACTTTTTGAAAAAAACTCTTGACTTAGGACATTTATTTAAAAAACCCTTTTTGCAAGCATGTGGGATATATTTTGCCAGCGAGATAAATACATGACAAAAGTGATAATTGGGTATACATGTGGGATATTTTTTGCAATTTTCTCCAGCAGCCAGCCAGTCCGACGCCCAGCTCCCCCCTGCGACTCCAGGCCGCCGCAGATTCCACCTGACTGCCGCCGTGCGCGCTCGAGTCCAGCCAACGTCTCCCTCTTTCCCGATCGACCTGACCACCGTGAACCACCGCCCACTGCGCGACCAGCCCAGAGGCGAACTGGACCACCAGCCGCTTCCCAAGTGCCACTCCTCGACGCCAATTGCAGCCACAACAGCTTGAGATCGCCGCTGCGTAGTATCGCTAGTATCTCTTTGTCCCACTCTTTCTAACACTTTCTATTTTCAATTTTTGGGATAATATGTTGTGATGTGGGATCGCTTTTTTGGAATTGCCAATTTGTGAACTCTATGAACTTGCCTTGAATTTGATGTCGAGTTTTCTTTGCAGTGATAGTGACAATGGCATGTTAGTTCTGATTTGTTCGACAGTAGTTCAATTTTGGGATATGTTGCACTGGATTTGGGGTATTGACATTTTGGAATAGTAATTTAATATCAGTTATAAGTGCATTTTGTGAGAGGTGATTCAATGGTTTGCTAGTTGTTTGATTTGTTCCATTTTGGAATACTCTGCATTGGCTTAGTAGATGGGAATAAAATTGAACCAACTTTGTTGAGACCTAAGAATGAATCTCAATGACTTTGTGCCACACAAATTGCTTACTTGCTGATTATTTGTTTTATCGTAGTTTAATTGGAATCCAAGAAGGCTCCTTGATACTCACTGGTTGTGGATATAGGAAGTTGATTTGATTTGTTTTGTCAAGGTTAGGTAGGAATCCAAGCACTTCCTTTTTTTGGAGAATTTCTTTTTTTGGTTTGGTAGGATTGGCATGGTAGAATTACAAACTTGACATTCTTTGCTCCTTTTTGGGATACTTCATTGTGTTTGGTGAGTTTGTTTTTGCAGGATTCGTGAGAATTTCCAAGCCCTCTAAAGGTGATTAATGCACCACCAACTCACAAGGCATTGGCAAGGCAAGCAAAGAACACATGTTTGCAATCCCCTATGGACTTCAGGGAAGTTCATCTCTTATCTTACTTCACTTTATATTGAGGACAATACATACTTTAGGTGTGGGGAGAGTTATGCAAATTTTTGGGCAAAATTCTCATTTCGTGCTACTTTTTATGCCTAATTTGCTGCACTTTTGCATGTTTTTGCAATTAGTCTAAAGTGAATCAAATGTGATTTGTGTGATAGGTTTGTCTAGCATGACTAGTGACATTTTATTGGTGATATGTTGAGTCAAGTCGACATTTGAACCATGTGAGATTTGAGCCTATGTTCTAAAAGTTACATTAGAAAATAACTTGCATATATTCAAGCTTTTGAAAATTGTTTGTTGTGTGATTTGTAGTGCTCAATTAGATGACCTAGAACTTGAGTGATTATGCATATTGAACTTGCAATTATCGAGTCTTACGTTTTGAAAATGATAAGGGCGCTAGGTAATCTCATCAAGCCTTTCTTTATCACCCAACACAATGTATTCTCACTACAAAAATAAAGTAATTTAGCTACGGATATTAGCATGGGATCTCACATCCCTTGCCAATAGTGACGGTTTGCAATGAATTGTTGCGAGGGAATAATCTCTGGCAAACTTTCATCATGTTAGATATTGAAATGAAGTTGGTTAGCTAATTAGCACCTTAAAATCCTTTACTAATTTAATGATGATTATTGTAAAATATATATATATATTAGTAGGGAATTAAATCCCTAGCCAACTATTATTTTAAAAAAATAATAATAAATTTATTTAACTTAATAATTTTATTATTTAAACATATAAAAAAATTAATTTATAAAATATAATGCATAGTGTTATTTTTCTATATATATCAATTTTTATTTTTATTCATATTAATATTATATTTTTTTCATAAAATTATAATAATATAATATTGTCAATTAAAATTAATTTATTAGAAATAGTAATTTTCTTTTACCCTACCCAGCGCGGCCTCCATTTCTTCCTCTTTTCGTCCTCCGATCCTTCCCCGCTTCCAATTTTTCCTCTTCTCCTCCTCCTTCACTAGCGCCAACACAAGTTTTGCTTACCGACGTGTTTGTTGTGGCGAAATTATTCCAGCAGAGGAGATGTGCAGAAAGTGTTTCACATTTCTACCCATTGGAGTTTGCTTGGTAAGTTTTTCATCGCTCAAAATACTATTCACTGGACGTGGTCTTCTTCATCCTTTCTTCTCCTTGTCAATTGGCCTCTCTGCTACTTTTTCTCTTTAATAATGGATTGTATGATGTGGTTCTAATGGATTGTATGATGTGGTTCTGATGGTTGATGCTGTTAGGTGGTAGAGCTGACCTACCAAACGGCACAAATTGGTAGCTCTCTTTGTTAGGTATTGTACAATTTACTTTTCACTTAAGATTAATGTTCAATGGGTGTTTTGTGTGTAGACCTCCATCTTTCAATGCTTTCATTATAATATTGAGTGTTTGTGGGGAAGCTCACAAAAAATCCCATCTAAAAAACTACTTGCATTAGTTTAATGGATAGTGGAAGGTTGAGAAATGATTGAGGAGTCAAGGGGATAATACATATACCTTTGCTGCAGGTGTAGAAATTGAAGCGCTGGTGTGCTGCTGAATGCTAGTCTGATGCTCTTTTAGGGTTTGATCTATTGATTTTTGTGAAATTCAAAATTAATCTATGTAATTGATATTGCTGAATTTGGTGTTTCTCTGTACTCTCGGTTGGGAGTTGTACAATAAAAAGACAGACAGTTTCTAACATATTCTTGCTGCTTGGAAACTATGTAGTTGAATTTTAAATTTTCATTCTATTGACTTTGGTTTGTTAAACTAAGCTAACAAAATTTCTACTCATAATGGGCAATCATTGTGTGCATCATCATCAATCATTTTTATGCATTTTCATTCATTCATTCATTCATTCCCTTTCGCACTTGATTCCGTCTCGTTTTTCTATAGGATAATTTTTACGTTTCAATTCTTCTTACAGAGTAATAATTGGATGGTGATCTATACTTGAGTGTTTGCTGTAGGTTATAAAGGATGGAGAATATAGAAAGGGTATAGATAGAATTGCTGATCGGACTGCTGCATTGCCATTAGAGGTTGAGGCAGCTAAAGAAAGAGAAGATAAAGTTGTCATAAAGGAGATAATAAACAATCCAAAAGAGGAGCAAACTGTTACAAAGAGGACCGCCTTGAGAATAGGATCGGAAGGAAGCGAAGTAAATGCAATGCAGGTAGCCCTGTTTCCAATCAACAATTTTCGTTTAAGAACACATACTAGTTTTCTATTTATCATATCAATGTTCTCATTATTGTATCAATGAATTGGTCTAGGAAAGAATATGTCAATTAGTATAACATTTGCTCATTATTACTAGTCTTACATGTGTCTCTTTTCACGTGTTCTTTTTCTTTCTTGGCAACTCAATGTTCATTTGCTTGTTTTCATATAATTTGAACTTTGTATGTGTTGGGTTGTGAGTGCCTCCTTTATGAATGCAAGGAGACTTTTACCAAATTTTTATGATTTCCATTTTTTATGTATTTAATATTTTCCGGTATCCAATGTAATGGCAGATCTATTATATATTGGATTAACTTGTGATTTCCGATGAACTTCAAGAATCCAGAAAGGAAACTGTTGGACGCCTAATAGTTGCACAGGTATGATTTGCTCTAATAAAATCCATCTTGTGATTGATTAATAACCATTAAGAACAGAGAGTATGCTATCATTACTTTTTGGAAAATTTCATAGATATATGAAAGAAAGTATATACAAGAAATTATTGTTTTGAAAAAAAGCTTTATGTATTGTTTCTCAATGAAGTGATATGTAACTCAGAAGATAAAAAACATGTAAAATAAAGCAATTAATTTTTTGATATATATAATTAATTTATGCAGGTCTTATGTTAGAATATTGTTACCTTGAGTAGTACCGGAAGATCTTGGATGTACAACAGAATGCGTAATGGCATTCTGAATAGGGATTTTATGGCCGGGGTAAATGATTTTCTCAATTGCTGTGTTACTAGCCCAAAGGTATATAAGATTAACGGGAAGATAAAGTGTCCATGTAAGTGTTGTGCCAATGCCCCATTTCTTTCGGTGGAGGAGATTAAGCATCACCTATACACTAAGGGTTTCGTAAGATTGTACGAGCGATGGACATGTCATGGTGAAACACATGATGGGAGTGGTACCTCCCATGCATCGGAGGTCCGAGAAATTGAAGCACATATTGATCCTAGAATAGGTGATTACACACGAATGGTGATGGATGCTATAGGACCAGAGTTTGAGGTGCGTAGGGAGGAGGAGGTTCCTAACCCTGAAGATAAGAAACTATATGATCTCTTGAGCACAGCAGATAAGCAATTGTGGGAAGGTTGTACCAAAGCAACTTTACTATCAACAGTGGCTAGAATGCTTACTATTAAGGCGGATTTTAATCTACCTGAGAAATGGTTTGATGTGCAGTGTCAGTTGATGCATGACATCATGCCAAAGGATAATTGTTTCGTCAAGAACTTTTATGAAACCAAGAAATTGATTGAGGGTTTGGGTCTTCCAGTAGAAAAGATAGACTGTTGTCAGTTGGGCTGTATGTTGTATTGGAGAGAAGACGCCGAACTAAACAGTTGCAGGTTTTGCAATAAAGCTCGATACAAGGAAAAATATGGAAAAAGGTACCTGTTCGATATATGCTCTACTTTCCGCTCACACCAAGGTTAAAACACTTATATGTGTCCTCTCAGACAGCTTCATTCATGCGATGGCATGCGGACCATCGACATACCAATGAGGGTGATATGTGTCATCTGTGTGACTCAAAGGCATGGAAACATTTGGATGCAAGATATCCATCATTTGCATCGGAGGTTAGAAATGTGAGATTGGGTCTTTGCACTGATGGATTTCAGCCATTTGGACAATATGGAAAACAATACTCTTGTTGGCCAGTAGTTGTGACACCATACAATCTTCCGCCTAATATATGTTTAAAGGACGAGTATCTATTTTTATCGCTTATTGTACCGGGCGGTGCAAATCCAAAACAAAAAATTGATGTATACTTGCAACCTTTGATAGAAGAGTTGAAAATTTTGTGGAGCGTTAGGGTTGAAACATTTGATGCTTCCCATAAGGAGAATTTTATTATGAGAGCAGTCTTATTGTGGATTGTAGGTGATCTCCCCGCTTATTTGATGTTGTCTGGTTGGAGTACATCAGGAAAGACAGCATGCCCTATATGTCAGAATCAAACCGTGTCTTTTCATCTCCCTAGTGGCTGTAAGCAATCGTGGTTTGATACACATCGTAGATTTATACCGGCCAGTCATCCATATCTATCTGACAAGAAGAAATTTAAAAAGGGGATAATTGATTCACGACCTCCACCATGTAATAAATCTGGGGATGATCAAGTTCGGGAACTCGATCGATATGGCTTTTTAAAAGTAACAGAGATGAATGCTAATGAGACTAATAAAAGGCTATGCAAATTATGTGGGTGGCGTAAAAGAAGCATATTCTGGGACTTGCCATATTGGAAAGACTTGTTGATTTGACATAATCTAGATGTTATGCACATTGAGAAGAATGTGTTTGAAAATATATTCAATATTGTAATTGATGTGAAGGGTAAAACAAAAGACAATGCTAAAGCACGGGCAGACATGACAATTTTTTGTGATCGGAAGGAGCTTGAATTTGAGGCGGCCCGAAATTGCTATCCTCCTGTGGCATAAACCATAGACAAAGCGGGACAAAAATAATTATTACATTGGGTTGAAAAGTTAACAATGCCTGACGGATATATGTCTAATTTGCGCCGGTGTGTCAATACGACGAAGCACAAGATGTTCGGAATGAAAAGCCACGATTGCCATGTTTTTATGCAACGTCTCATTCCGATTGGGTTTCGTGAGTTGTTGCCAAAGAAGATTTGGGAGCCATTGACAGAACTGAGCAATTATTTCCATCGTTTGACGTCCAAAACTATCACAGTGAGTGATATGGAATTACTAGAGAAAGAGATCCCAGTGATTTTATGTAAATTGGAGACAATATTCATCCCTGCATTCTTTGATAGCATGGAGCATCTCCCCGTACACCTACCATACGAAGCAAGAATTGACGGTCCTGTTCAATTTCGTTGGATGTATCCATTTGAAAGGTATTGATGCTTTTATTTGTTTTAATACCCTAGTATCTACTTGTAAATACTCACCGATGTGTTTTTCACGGATTTTTGAATCGTCTGAAAAAAATGGTAAAAAATAAAGCACATGTCGAGGGATCAATTGTTAATGCATTTCTCGTAAGAGAAGCTGGATTCTTTTGTTCACATTATTTTGAACAACATGTGCACACGCGTACAATAAATGTGTCGAGACAAGATGATGGTGGCCCCTGTTTGCAACGATGTGCAACTATTACAGCTTTCAATCATCCTGCACGCTTGCAAGGAAAAGGAAAAAAGCGATTTCTTACGCCTGTAGAAAGAAAGTCGATCCATACATACTTCTTGCTCAATTGTCCTGAAGTTGAACCATTTATTTTCTAAGTATATCATTTAAAATCAAATTTGATTTCAATAATATTTTGAATAAGTATCTTAACTATAATATTCTCTATAGGCTATTTGAAGAAACATTAAGGCAGGCAAATCCCTCAATATCTGATGTTGAACTTGCCTCCGAACTTCATGCTCATTTTTCTAGTTGGTTTGCTCAATATGTAAGTAAACCACACCTTTAATTGAATGAATATTCTTTCAACAAGTTAACTTCCTAAACATTACATGGAATAATAATTATTTGTAATGTAGGTTTCAAATCACGTCAATATCGATCAAACTTTCAAAGATATTGCACATGGTCCATTGGTGGAGGTAATCACATATTCCATATGTTTTATCAATGGATACTGATTCCACACAGAAAAGCATGGTTCTACCAAGGAGACGTACAATTGTGGTGTTTGCATAGATGGGGGAGGCTTAGTATATTATGGGAAACTCCAAGAAATTATGGAGGTTGAATTTCCAGCCCTTCCTATGTGTGGTCTTCAATTGTCAATGGTTCAATCCGACGAGTGGCTTGGGCACTAAAAAAAATAAGAAATACAATCTAATAGAGGTAAATAAACGAAAAAATCTTCGGAGTTACGAACCTTTTATATTGGGCATGCAAGCATCTCAAGTATCTTATATACCATTCCCAAGTCTAAAAAAAGACAAGGAAGACTGGTTGGCTGTATGTCGAGTCAAGCCTCGTGGTTGGATTGAAGTAAAGAAGGGTGATACATATATTGTGCCCGTACATGAAACATACCAAGATGCAATTGTTGAGCCGTGTGCCATTGAAGGGGTTACTACTGGATATAATTTGAATTTAGTGTCTCTTGAAGGTGTTGGGGGAATACCATTGGAGGATTCAGATCTATTTGACACCGATGAAGAGGTTTATCTTGAAACATCTGACTTTGAGACTAACTACATGGAGGAGACTAGCGATGAAGATGATTTTTCATATGAATAGGTCAATACAGTGCAGATTTTTATAATTTTATTGTATTTAATAAAGTTATAATTTTTATTATAAGGTATAATAAAAATTAGATGAGGAGATTGACCGACAGATATCAGAGGTTGTCCGAGCTTATGTTGAGGGGAGACAAGAGAGAGGACGAGGGCAACAAATAGAAAATACGGATGAGGTGCACCCGACCAATCATGGCGGTAATTTGGCAAGAACTTGTCTTTATTCATATTAATATAAAATAAAGAATTATCATACTACTTACAATTCGTACACGTGCATCGTCTTCTACGAATTCATATGGATCCATTGTAGCTTCAGTTTAGTATATAAATAATATTTATTTTCTATTTGTTTATTTTGTAATAATTTGATACCAATTGTAGGATCAACTCCAACGATAGCGCCTATCACTGATAACTGCATTAAGATCAATGTAGAGCCAAATGGAAGGTATATATGTCAAATTCATATGTTTAAGTGTAAAACATTTAACATTCAATTATTGCAGTGTCCTGTGGCCTCAAGAAGCCTCAAAGGAGTTCCGGGATATCTTTCGTTCATCCATCCATCATCAAGGTACTACTTGGATGAAAGTTCCGCCAAACATCAAATAGTGGTCTCAAGAGGAAATGAAGGTAAAATATTTGGTTGAATAATAAATATTACATATATATTTAATTTATATTTACTAATTCGTTATATTATGTTGTTGCAGAAGCATGTTATGTAGGACTCCACTAATGAGAAGAAAGTCCTATGTGTGTACAAAAAAAAGGCCCAAAATGCATACAACCAGTGGTTGCATGGCATCCGGCATGAAAAAGACAAAAAGGTCGAGGAAGTTCTCAACCCGGAGGTCTTTGCTGAATGGAGAAGGGTTTGGAGCTCTAATGATGCCAAAAAGAAATTGGAGATTGCAAAGAAAAATAGGCGGCGGGGTCTTCCAGATATTACACCTGAGGCTACGCATACAGGAGGGTCTCGGTCGTTTTATGAGATGGCCAAGAAGATGGTATGTAATTCTATAACATTAAAATAAATATTGATTCATAAACAATCATTTTATATTCTCAATTCTAATGCAGGGATTGAATATAACTGAAATGTATGCTTGGGCCCATACGAAGAAACACAACCGGATTGAATATGTAAATCCGAAAGCATCTAAGATTGCTGTATGTTATCTATAAACTAAATATATCACAATATAATATAAATAACACATTTTATTTTCAGTTAATGTTTATTACATTAGTTGTTGATAATTCCAGGAGGATTTGGATGCCATTGTGGGGGTCCTGACACAGCAAGGCACTACCAGGGTTGATATCTGCAGGGTGTTTCTAAAATTGGTTCCATGGGATAAAAAAAATCGGATATTCAGGCTCGGGTCTTTAGCGAGTACAGTGCCCTTTAATCGATCGTCTTTCATGAGCTATGCTTATTCTTCGGCCACTGTAGACATTGATCAGCGCCTCCAACAAATGGAAACTAAATTCAATGATCGACTTCAGAATATTGATGATTATGTTCACCATATGGATGATCGGGTGGAGAGTATTGAACAAATCCACCAAACCATCGTCAATCAAAACCTCAGCATTATGGAGGAGCTCCGTAGGTTACGAGCAGACTTCAACCGCCGTGGCCCTAACGGTGATGCAGGTGCTCCTATCGCATGATGTATGTATTTGGTATATTGATATTGGTATTTTGCTTTGGTACATATATTAAATACTATTATGATTTGATTCTTGATAGATTGACCGATGATTGCACATATAGCTTATACATTTGAACTTTACTTCTCTTTTAAATTCCATCTTAGGATGTTGTGGCTGCTTGTGAGATTCTCAACTGTAATGTTGTGGAGGTGCAGTGCCAGGTAAGTAAGGATAACTTAAAGGATTGACTTTATATATCTTGAATTTGTTCAATCCAACATCCTAACTTTTTTTCAGGGGTTGGTTCCCTCGATTTCAGTGGACAACACCTCAGGTTGCCAGATGTACTGGTACCTGCATCAGAATCAGATGGCAAATAGGTATATATGTTTTCATTTATTATATATATGTGTACTAAATTAGAGGAGCATCATACAACCACATATCAAGATTACTTGAACAAGTTTGGCATTTTATCATCCCTTATTAGAAGTAGTGTTATTTGCTACATTGGATCATGCTGCGTATAAAGAAAATTGTAGTAAACCTCGGCTAGATGCATCTATGTTTGATTCTTGATGCAGGTGCTTTTTCTATCATAGGATGTATGTATTTTGTATATTGATGCTTATATTTTTTATTTTGGTACACATATTAATACTATTATAATTAGTTTATTGAAACAATCATTGATTACATTGTTTGATTCTTGATGCAGGCGTTGCTCTTATCGGTGATGGATGCATTAGGTATATTGATGTTTATATTTTGTTTTGGGTGACATTAAATACTCTTATTGGTTATGGATGCATTAGATATATTGAATTTTATATTTTTTTGGGAGACATTAAATATTTTTATCGGTTATGGATGCATTAGGTATATTGATGCTTATATTTTGTTTTGGAAGACATATCAAATACTCTTATCGGTTATGGATGCATTAGGTATATTGATGTTTATATTTTGTTTTAAGAGACATAATAAATACTCTTATCGGTTATGGATGCATTAGGTATATTGATGTTTATATTTTGCTTTGGTAGACACATTAAATACTGTTATTTTTAGTTTATTGAAACAATAATTGATTACATTGTTGAATCTTTATTCTTGTGGAACATGATTGTCTATATGATTGTTAATAGTTTAGTTTTTAGAATTAAATTTAATTTGCTTGGAATTGGTTGATATTGCTTGAATATAATTTCTTTGGAATTGGTTGAAATAGATTAAATATAATTTGTTTGAAATTGGCTTTATTTAATTATATTTTGTTTTAAATTGGTTGATATGGTTAAATATAATTTGTTTGTAATTGATTGATATTAGTTGAATGTGATTTGTTTGGAATAAGTTGAAATTCTTGAATATAATTTGCTTGAAATTTGTTGAAATATATTGATTTAATGTTTTTTGTTTGGAATATGTTGAAATTGACATGTATTTTGATTGAAATTGGTTTAATTTGATTTTTAAATTTTGAATTTGTTGAAATAGGTTTAATTTAATTTGTTTTTGTAATTTATTTGAAATAGCTGAAATTGATTTTAAAATAATATATTTTAAATAATTAGCTGAAATAGATTAAAGGTAATTTATTTGGAATCAAATTAATTTATTTTTTTTTATCGAAATTATTTTACTGTAATTTGATTGTAATTGGTAGAATGAATTAATGAGGAATTTTGCAAGGGATTTAAAAAGGGAATTGGTAACAGATTTAACGAGAGAACTAGCAGGGGATTCTAGCAAGGATTTACAGAGGGAATTAGGAAAGGAATTGGCGAGGGATTTATTGAGGAAATTATCAACGAAATTAGTGAGGGATTTAGTCAGGGAATTAGCAAGGAAATTAGTGAATGATTTAATGTGGGAATTAGAAAGAGAATTAGTGAAGGATTTTAGCGAGAAAATTAGCAAAGAATTTAATCCTCTATAACCACTAAATAAATTGTAATTAATCCCTAGAAAAATTCCTCACTAAAATCCCTCGCTATAATTTTGCGATAGACAGAAAAACATCGCAAAGTGTTGCAACAAAAGGATTTGCAAAGGCTTGTTTTGCCTTAGAAATTCCTTCACAAATCAAGTTTTGTAGGGGATTTTATCTTTTAGTGAGGGAATAATTCCCTCACTAAACTCCAAGTTTTTTGTAGTGTCCCCTAGTTAGCCCATTTGAGCCTTCTTAGCCTATTTTTTCTTTATATCGCATATAATATGAACATTTAACGCATGCAATTTCGAGCTATCAATTCTCCCCACATGTAGATCATGCTTGCTCTCAAGCATGGATTCGAAATAAGTCAAAGAAATCGCAAGCGACTCAATATGACAAGAGAATCCAACACAACCAATCCAATCCGAAATTCAACATATAAAGCCAAGTTAACCTCACAAGATAAAGTGTATACACACATGTTCTCCGAAGAAATAATTGTATAAATGGCTCAACACTCAGGCAGTGCAACAAAAGATTATCCTATAGACTTGAGTAAATATCAAATCTCCCTTACTTAAAGATATTCGAGTATAATATAAAGAATCAAAGGAACTTTTAATAAGGGTTATAGCGGGGCTTATGGTCAAGGGTAGGAAAACAAGGATAAACAACGGCTAAGTATGTCAGAAAAGAACACAATAAGAATACGATGCTAGCACATGAAAAATAAATCGGCATAAATAATGAAACATTTACTTTATTCACTACCCAAACTTCAATAATATAATTGTATAATAATACTTCATCAAGGTAAATCTTTTTTTTTTTGGAATTTTTTTTTTCTTTTTTTAATATTTGTTTTGATTTTTTTTTATTTTTTTTATTTTTTTTATTTTGTTATTTTTGCCTTTATATATATATATATATACACTACAAGAAAACATCATTTTTGTAACAAAATATTTGTCTCTAAATCTACTTTTTCCGTTACTAATAACATTAGAGACGGAATTAGGAATGGAATTGCGTTAGCTACATGAACTTTAGGGACGGAATTCCGTTACAAATATAACTTTTTTTGTAGTGATACCTTCACTACCCATGGTCATTCCTGCATGCTATGACTTATTCGTACCCAAATTTTATTTCTAACTAACGCCGAAGAAATAAAGTGCATCACAACATGAACTTAAAGTAATTCTTTCTAACATAGGGTTCAAATTGGAGAAGGCTTAATCGAAAGAAGGGTGTGAGGCTAAAAAACGGTTTATTATAAAATAAAAAATAGGCTAAGAAGGCTCAAATCGGCTAACTAGGGGAATACATTGTGTTGGGTGATAAAGAAAGGCTTAATGAGGTTACCTAGTGCCTTTATCATTTTTAAAATGTAAGACTCGATAATTGCAAGTTTAATTTTTTTACTCAAGTTCTAGGTCATCTAATTGAGCACTACAAAACACACAAGAAACGCCCCCACAATCCTTTTTATTTAAAAGGGTATGTCGTGCTTTAACATTTTTTTGTTCTTTTTTTTTTTTAAGACTCAATCAAGTGTTTTATGTTAAATCTTTTTCGCTTCTTAAATATTTTGAGTTTTACAACTTATACACACAACAATATCCATTTCATTAATTTCCACTCGATAATTGTTTAAGAATACTTTTAAATAATTGATATTTATATAATATTATATTTTACCAACAAGCAAGCAAATTTAATCCATTGTTGAACTTGAAATGTATCCATCTCTTCTTTATATCTGATTTCACTCTCTACAAAGGTATCTTCTCATAAACCCGGAGTATGTAGTTGTGCCAGCCCCTTCCGCCCCGCCTCATCAGTTAAATAGAGTGACATATGTTCTTTATTTTAACTAAAATTATAATATTTTATTTTATAAATATTTTAATGATTCTTTACTCATTAATCACGAGCGTGACAAACATGGAAAATTTGACTTGGTATAAAATATGTAATCATGGGTGTGATCAATGAGTGATTTTCGCAATATACTATATCTCCAAATTCCCATATATTAGTGATTACTATCGATTTGATTTACCTTTCTTTTTAGGAGTTCAAAATGTAGCCTTTGGGTAAATATTGATGTAGGGGACATTTTTGGCTGAGTGAGAGTGAGAATCATTAAGGATTCTAACTATTCGATTCATCTAGTGGATTCCTTATCGCCCGTTATTTTTTCTCATTTTGGATTTTCAACGTAAATCTTGTGTTCTTTTCATATTTCTATAATTTAATAATTACTTGTGCTTCAATTGTGTTTCAATCTGCTTCTGCAATTTCAATACTCCTTTTTACGCACATAAATCCATAACAGAGAATAAGATGTACATATATACATAAACTATTCTGTAAACAAGAAAGAATGAAGAGAAGAGACTACTTTCGATGAAATAATGTATAAAGTAAAATATTGTAATATAAATAAACATAAATAACATTTGTCATCATTTAAACTATACAATTTAAAGTACAAATGGTTTATTTTTTTAGACCATAGAACCCTGTTCAATAAGTGGAACACATTAGTTGTCCATTCTCAGGTTGGGCGGTAAGGGTCGAAAAAGGGCAATCACTCATTCTTAAAGCCAACCTTGTCAGTAGCTAGATATGGATAAGGGGGCATGGAATACATATGATGAGCTACAAAAATGGTTAGAGAGCCTAACATTGCTAGATTAAGAGATAATTGAGCATGCCATGATGTTGTTAGGATCTCATATAGGCCTTTATGGCCTTGGCCTGTAAATGAACCTTTATGGGCTTCTAAAATGTCTTTTAGGTCATGACCTATGTCATGTAATATACAATAACTTAATATTTCTAATAATGTTTGTGTCTATTCTCATACTCCCCGCTGTCCAGGAACTTGCTAGGCCAAGATGAACATTCAGTATATGTGCAAGGGGTGCCCACAACATAAGTGGAGATTTAGATGGAGGCGGAGCTGGATGCGGAGGCTTTCTAACATATTCCAGTAGCTGTGGTCATAGGACTTAGAAGGAAATTTTTCCTTATTAACACCGATAAACAAGGCTGAGGACTTGATCCTAGATTAATATATATATGTATATATAGTACTTTATATTGACATCAAAACACCTCAAAACTAATAGATATATTCTTTTAATAAAGTTTTTTAATTGATATTTTTACTACTAGAATATTTGATAGGAGAATATTGGAATTAGTATCTGGTACCTATGGTCAATTATCACTCGTGTCTTTTAATTGTCACCTTAGAAAAATATATAATACATGGGGAAAATTGCAAAAAATATCCCTTACGTATACACTATTATCATTTTTTGTCCTGTATTTATCTTATTGACAAAATATATTCCACATATATGTAAAAGTCGTTATTTCTATCGTATGGCGGCATGTGGCTGCGCGTGACAGCGTGTGATGTCGACATCACGCGCGGCCAAATGACATAAATATGACTTTTGCAAACATGTGAGATATATTTTTATAGGTGTGTTGTACATTAATATATAATATGTTGTCTCATATATATTACTTTGCTATCAGCACAGTGTTGATTATATTTAATCAACACCTTAACCGTCGCTTAGAGGTAAATATGATAGAAGTATATTAGGGGATAACTCAATTGAAACACATATGTTTGTTCTATATTAATAAGAATAACAACCTTGTGGCTATCCATATTTTCTAGCATTTTAGGAATTAAAATTGCATCTAATTTTTGTTAGCTTTAAATATTCTTTAAGCTTTGCTTTTAAAAAAAAATTATACATAAATTTTTCCTCCAAGCGTCCTCATATCTCAATATATATATATATATGCATTTCTATTGATTTAGGTGTTATTCTCCAACTTCTCAATATATATGCATTTATATGCATTTACAAT